GGGGTCGGGGGGCAGCGTGACGTCACCCGTTGCCATGCGCTGGGCAGAATGCCGACCAGAACGTCACAGCTTGCTTCCTTGGGCTCTCTTGCCTGAAAGGGGGTGGCAGGCACAAATCAACCACCTGAAAGGGGCTGGCAGGCCAATCAGCTTTAATGTTTTTATTTCCTAATTCCTGTGTGATACAAATTAAAGATGGAAGCTGATAGGTTGTTATGGGCAACGCCACCTGTTGCGCTAGAACTTGTGTCAGACATATTTTGTCAGCATTCCCCGCAATGTGTTAGGCACAGCGTCTGTCCGTAAAACGTCCCCCCCCCTGCAGACTACATGCAGTACGCGGCCTCTCATCAGGATCCGCCCTCTGCATGCATCATAGGTGACGCCCCGCCCTTCTGCTATTTCCGCCATCTTGATTACCTCGTGTTGGTGCGGTGCTGTTCGGTGAGGTGATGTCTTTGTGCTGTGTGTGTGGAGTGGGATATAATGGTTGGCTGTGCGGGGTGTTCCGCTCCGTCCTCTGTGTGTAGCCGGTCCTCAGTGTGGGGTGTAGGGGGGGACGGGTCAGTGTCTGGGCTGGAGAGGGCCTTGTACCTGTCTGCCTGCCTGCTCTATGGGCTCTGGGGAACAGCGGGGCTCTCTGGGAAATCAGAGGCCTTGTCCTGCCCGCTGGCTCTTGTAGTCCTTCGCCGTCCTGCCCTTACCTGCTGTAGCGGGATTAGCAGCAGGCCTTGGATTCTAGGACAGGCCCGGGCAGTGTCGACGTGACCCGCGGTGCATACCGTGTCATGCATCACACTCTTCTCCCTGTTCTATGGGGGCTTGGCCTGGATTGTTTTTTTGTTGGTCAGAATGAAGTAGGGTTTTTTTTGTTGGTCAGAATGAAGTAGGGGTATCTGTTTTCTCACTATAATAGGGGGGTGTTCAGGTCCAGGGGAGGAATATTGTAGTCTCGGCATGGAGTGTAGGGATCAATGGGGGGAGAGTTACAGTCTCTGGGGGGTAGTATTGTAGTATCAGCAGTTCCTAATTACATCACCAAATGTAGGGATTCATTGGTGGAGTGGTTGTAAGTAGTGATCCATAGTCCTGTGGGGGGCTGTTATGGAGTCCCAACAGTTCCTGTCTGCAACAAGGGTTGTAGGGATCAGGGGGACACTATTCTATAGGCCTGCCAGTCTCTGCCCATTAAAGGTAATGGGGTGAGTGTAGGGATTGCTGGACTAGGATGACACCATTGTGCTGTCCCAGCAGTCCCTTCATATAACAGGCAGTGTAGGGGGACAGTATTGTACAGGCTCAGCACTTCTGTCCATCAGGGATTGTACACATCCATAGTCCAGGGGAACAGTATTGTAAAGTATTCTCATTTCCTGCCTATAACAGGGGTGTTCCAGAATTGGGGGACTGTAGGGATCCTGGTCTAGGGCAGGGGCTGCCAAATTCTGGCCCCTCCAGCTGTGGTGAAACTACAAATCCCCAAAATGCATCTGTTTCTCTGTCTTGCAATGCCTTAGGGGACTTGTAGTTCTATAATAGCTGGAGTGCCAGCTACCCCTGATCTAGGGGGACTGTATTGTACAGGTTGTACTGTCACTGCCCATAACAGCTAGTGTAGGGATCCTTGGCCTAGAGTGGCAGTGTTGTACAGTGTCAGCTGTTCCTGCCTGTAACATGCAGTGTAGGGGTCAAGGGGACAGTGTTACAGGCCCAGCTGTCCCTGCCCAGAACATGGAGTGTAGGGATCAAGGGGGATGGTATTGTAAAGGCTCAGCGGTTCCTAATCATAACGGGTAGTGTGGACATCATGATGCATAGAGGCCGTATTGCACAGGCTTAGAAGTCCTTTGTACTAAACTTTATTCTGTGATTGGTTGCAATACAAAAGGCAGCATCATTGACTATCACTGGCAGGGCAAAGGTGCCCATACACCTTACGATTATCGGACAATTTTCGTATGCGATCGACTTTTCGGACGATAATCGTATGTGTGCATTGCAGTGTCCGACCGACATTACTGTACAATCGTACGACTTTTGAGGGTCAAGCATGTTTGAAAACTTTGCTAGATCGTACGCTTTTCGTAAGGTTGCTGGCGTTTCCATCCATCAAAAGTCGTACGATCTACACTACGCTAACGAAAATACGGCAAATCAATTACCGCATTTTCTCCAGGTGCTTTTCGTTAATTACGGCTAAATTAATCTTGCGATCATCGGGTCAGAATGGGGCTGCCGTACGAAAATCGTACGACTATTCGATCATCGGACGAAAAGTTTTGTCCGATAATCATAAGGTGTATGGGCACCTTAAGTCTGTACATGGCTCTAATGCCAACTAGATATTAAGCTCAGGGGCTGCAGGTTTCAGCTGAAGCACTTAATGCATAATGCATATCAGCATATCTCCCACAGCTTTCTTTCACCGCGATGCCTTCCCCAAACAGGCCAAACCATGGGATTGAGGAAACATCGTCATGAGTGGAACTTTCATTGGTAACCTCTCCTGGAAATACTAGTTAACCTGGCTAATGCTGACCTTGCCTAAATGCTCTGGGTCAGTGATCTGGAATAAGTATGTAGTTGGGGACTTCTGACTCTTGTCGACCTGCATACTTGTTCTGGATCAGTGAAATGGTGAAGCCAGTGGGTCAGCATAACCAGGCAACTACCGTAGCATATGCAGCTCTTCAATGTATTGTTCTGGCTCATTGAGTAATGAAACCACTGAATCGGAATGACCGCTAGGCAACTGGCATTTCAAAGAGAGGAAGTCTGCAATAGCAGTCTCTCTACTTCTCTCACTACATAGTTTCTTTAAAGCTGAATACTGAGATGAAATGGATGGAAGGGAACTGTTTTACCTGCCAAATGATTTGTATCTCTGTCCATCCAGTCCAAATACTTGCACAGCTCTCCCATACACCCCAAGCCTGTATAGCAGGGGAGGAGACTGGATTTTTCTCTGTTGCAGTTAAGTAACACTTACAGGTCTTGTCCTTCCCCCCCAGCCTGTGACTGGACAGTGAAGAAGCAGCAGATTGATGAGCTCATTTGTCACTGCTCTGTGCTCCTTTTAGAATGTTTCTTGTTAGCACATGAGCCCTGCAGCACAACAGACTCCTTGTGCTGCTTTTCACTCTTCCAGTCTGCTTGGTGTTGTAGAGGACATTGCAAGAGGATGTGGAATCCAAATGTGGGTACTTTCATTCCTTGCATCAAATCGATCAATAAATCTTATGAATTACTGTTGCATATAAAGCTGCATTTATTTGTCTTTCATACATGTCTGCGGTGCAGCTTTAAAGAGACTGTCATGAGCAAAGTTTGGGACTCTTTAGAAACTATTAGTTTTATTGCTGTCTGGCTTCAGTACTTTTGAGTAGCAGACCAGGAACAAGCATGTTGTAAATTAATGGCGGTTATCCTTATCGCTATGCTTGTTCCAGAGACTCGGAAAACATTGAAGCTGAGGTCAGGAATTGGCAATTAACATACACTTCTTTCTCCCGAGAGACTTTAAGGTGGATCTGCAACTAATGATTTTATAATCGATTAGTTGGCTGATTTTTTTTTTTTTTACTGATTGGTTATAAAAATTAAATAAATGCCATCGCTAATCTAAAATAAAATCTACTAATGGAGTGTTACAAACATAAAGATTACTTTAGAATAAAGCTGCATGCTCAACTTTTTGCATTCGCACTGCAACCCAAGGCATTGTGGTACCGTGTGTTCCAGTGCGTGTGATCACACTGTGGGTGGGAGGTGCGTTTAGTGTGCCATTGAAATAAATGGCACTTCAACACACCTGCTGCAGCATTTGTCAGGT